CAGTGTAACGCGGAATGAAATAAAAGAGGCTTGAATATGATTGTTTTTTATACAGGCGGAAACGATGGAAAGCGACGAACGAATTAGAGCACGTCGCGTGCAATTGTTCGTCACCGATGAATAGATTATTTCTGCGTTGGTTAAAGTGATCAGAGGATCCTTTCTACCCTGATAACGTACAACTGACGTAACTGCTCTTGATGTCGTAAAATTTCGTTGCAGAAAAGCAGAAGAATTTTCTATAAATTACACAAACTACAGAAAATTCCTGTTCCTAATAACGATAACCGATGCAGGCGGCACTCTTCTCTCCCTCTCTGTTATTAAAAGAGGAGAAGAAAGAGAAAGAAGAGAAAGAAAAGGAGGAGAATACGATATCAGGGGATGAAACTAGTTCAACTGAGCACGGTAGGTCGTCGGTTGCTCCCGGTCGTTCGTCCTATGGCAAAGACGAGGTTAAGTTAGGTGTGATCTCTTATCGGCAGCGTGGAGTAGCGAGTCTACCCACGTTCCTCTTATCTTTCTCGCTTCCCGGTTCGCCTCCCTGTTGAACTTACAACCCACCCATACATACGTGCGATACATATTGTCGTTTCGGATCTAAGAAGCTGCCAGCGAAGGCTGCACTCCACCTTACAGAGGCCAGGGAACCATCCACTGTCGTCATATATGTCGCTCGATGGTGAGGGTTCGCTCGTTTTTCCCGGCAGTTCCGCCACCCCGAATCGCCTCGTACTCGTCGACTTTTACGACTCTTCGGTACGGTGTGTTCTCGAATCGTTCGACGCTGCTGAGAAACCATCGTTAAGGGTGGCTCGCGTAAAGACACTGCTTTATTATATAACAATAACTTTGCGATGTCTCTGTTACCGTCCACCCACGATCCCGTGATAAATACTCACGCCGAGGTTCGAAACCGTACACTTCCGATACGATTTTCGAGAAGTTTCGAGACGGTTTTGCGAAACGACCGGAGGTCTCTGTAACGAGCATAACAGCCGGTTTGGTCGTGCTCGAAATAAAAGTGGCGTGGCAACGATCTCGCGGAGGTAATTATTGCTCTGTCACGGAGTCGATCGAGGAGGAATAGGAGAACGGTAACGATACAACACGGTCCACTCGAGCTTCTCTGTCTCGACGAATCCCCTCTGGGTCGTTGTCCATTGAGAGAGAGAGAGAGAAAGAGGAAAGCTTCGGTGCTGGATGGTAGTCCAAGTGGCCGGGATTTAACGGGCGATAATGACCAACACTTGGAATGTAATTTCGTGAAACGAGAAGGTTTCTCCATTTTGCAATCGAGATAACGGCCTAAGTAACGCTTATTCTCTCCAACAGCAACCCTTCTCTTTCTCCCACTCTAACCTTCCTTCCTTCCTTGGTTCTCTGGAATTCCAGAATTTATGACCACGCTCGTTAATCTATCCCTAAACTTCTGACGAGCTTTCGTCGCTACTGTAAACAGAATTAAGAGCGAGCAAAAGTTTCTCCTTTATCCCTATCCACTGGGTAAAAAGAATATCCACGTTACCGGGTCGTCGCTTCGTTAAACAAACTGCCTGCGCGGATACCTATTCCTGCTTTTTCAAGAGAGAGAGAGAGAGAGAGTCCGCAAACGTGTGGAAGAAGCGAGGAGAGAGAAGGTGAGGGTAGACGGTGTGTGTCCGTGGATGAGAGTTGAAAATGTGCACGGTTCCTGTACCAAGGATCCGGTTTCTATACCACTTGGAAAAACTCAGTCAGCCGGACGAGCCGAGAAGCGAAAGTTTTCGAACTCGGTGCGTCGGAGTGGCATCGAGGCAACGAACGAGATTGAAATACCCTCGTTTCTCTGCCTTCAAACCCCCTTCTTCAACTCGTGTCTTCCTTCTTCTTTCCTTCCTTCTGCTTTCTTTCGTTCCGCTCCCGCTCGCTGCTCCCTCTCCTCGTCGTGTTTCATCCTCGTTCTTTCCTCCCGCCTCTTTCGGGCGGGGTGCACGTCCGATTTGTAATTCAGCGAGTTCGGAGGCTGGCATGCAGGGTGTAGAGTTGACGTTGCGCTCAAAAAAAGTACCGTAGATAAAGTTTCAATGCAAAAGTTACGGGCCGCTTATACAGGCGGCGGCGGCGAAGGTCGTCGCGGGAGGTGGAGTTGCCGTGAGTGGGCGAAGAGGGTGGAGTCACGAGGAGGATATAAAAGCGGCGCACATGATGGGGATCTCGGCTCGATAGGGAGCCGTAAGTACGTTAACTTTGCCGTTTATGTTCGACGAACGAGAAACACCGAGGATTCCGGTGAGAAAAGTCAGCTGGAACATCTTGTGCCGCCGCCTAACCTTCCTCCCTCTCTGCAACACCCCTTTCGAACGCGATTTCTTTACGATTCTTCTCCCTCGAGAGAGTTCGCCACGCGGATTTTCGTCGTTACATCGATGGCGCGTTTAATGGCTTCTCGAAGGTCGTTAGCCCTTTTTGGATTTATCGGTGCGCCGTGTGTTAACCTTGCAATAGTAACTTTACTTTTCTCGTCACGTTGAGCTTGCGATTTTTTGGGAATTTTTGTGATATGGAGCACTTTGTACCTCATGTGGTACATAATATTTGTATTTTTTTTTTTACTACCTTTGTTGGTATTAAAATTGCAAAATTGTTCGCTTTAAGTTGAAAATAAATTGGTAAATATATATTTATCGGGTGCGAGGATATTTTTAAAGTGAAAATATAAAAAGGAAGGAAAAAATTTGCGGTTCATTAGTCAACTGTGTCCCTTGGGGCACTGCATTCCCTATGTCACTGTTCTAGGGTTAAAAGCACTTTTAATTTTAGTTGCATTTCAAGTCTCATTTTACAGTACGGTTCTCGCGATGAATATAGTAAAATTGCAAAATTATTACGTTTTAGTATTTTCGTATCCAGCAGTGTATCAAGAATATCTCTACATTCAACGTTTAACCAAATATGTATTCAATGTAAAATTAGGATAAAAATCCAATACCGTCGTTCTTTAAAACTAGCCTTCTCTCGTGTTTCCAAGTATCGCCGAAGAGCCTTTAATTTTCCTGCAGCACGGAACGTACTAATATGAAATATATATTCCATACATTAATGTCGAGCAACGAATCAAATAGAATATCGGATGTAACTCCATTAAGCTTCTACGCCGGTTTTTTCCACCATTTAAAAATACAAGAAAGAGCCGTGTTCAAGTTTCAACGTTCGCCGGATGACTGCATTGTTCAATTAAGTAGACCAGGCTGTTCGCGAGATTCCCTCCTTCTGCCTAAGCCGCCGATATTCGAAAACGCCTGTCACCGACACCAGTTCAGCCTGAAACGCACACGCCTCACTTTCTTCCTTCCCTTTTCGCATACCATCCTTTCCTCTTCCACCGGCTGTCAGCTGCCAAAGTGAAAATTCCTCGGCTCAAAAATAGCGGAAGATTCGCGACCGTGTCATAAAGCCAGCCACGTGCAAGCCCCAGCGTCTTCTCTGCCATAAATCCGTTCATATTCCACCTCCAGTCGCTCTGCCGGAAGTACATCCGCAAAATATTCTTTCTTTTTTCCCTCCCTTTTTCCTCCGTACAAGAAATTCGCGTAAGCAAATCCGAAGATCCATCGTTTCGTCCTCGTTCCCTTCCTCTTTTGCGTCGTAAACCGGGTGGTAGACGAATTCGAGGGAATTTTGCGATACAGCTTAGAAGCCCCTGGGGTAAAGCGATCCGCTTCCTCTCTCTCGTCGGAACTTCTGTTAATAATTAAAAATATTAGACTCATTAAAACGCGAGAGCGCATCAACTTGCGCTTGGGGATCGATCGTGTACGCTCTCTTGGCGGATGCCCGGCCACTAGCCGGCCAAGTTACGCGTAATTTTCGAATATTTCGGACAAATTACTTCGTCCATTATATCGGGGAAAAGAGGAGATAGAGAGGATTTCAGAGGCGAAACTAGCGAGGGAATAAATGTACACTGGACCTTGTTATCGGGAAGTCGAAAAATCTGATATTGCTCGGCAAAGCAAACTTGAGGCTTTTGACGTCATCGCCTGACCAAATAAGCGGAAAATAGGCGGTCGGGTTATCTCCACTGTTCTACGGTTTTACACTGCGGCAGCTTGAGGGGAAGTTGCGTTGCAGGTGAATCCTGTAGACGAATGACTTTCAATCAGTTGCCGATAATCTGACAGGTTGACAAAGGAACAGGAAATTGAAGATTACTTAGTCGAGCTGAATTCGAGAAATTTTAGAGTATTTTCGGAATCGGAGCAAGTAGTTAACTCAATCATATCTCAGACGCTCGAAAAATTCGATGTCTGAGATATGGCTGACTTCGCCAATTAGCTTCGGTCCCTTTTCTCGAATTCCACAAGTAGTAAAGTCAACCATTTCCGAGGCGCTGGGAATTTTTTAGCAAGTTTCTAAGTTTCTCGCTCGAATTTCGGGATTTTTACGATCTTCTCGATTTTCCTTCGTTCCTGTGGTGGCCTGAATGTCCCATTTGTAATTCACACAAGAAGAACACTGGTTTTTCTATTTTCAATCAAAGTTACAAACAATTTCTAACAAATCTACTGCATGCAATTGTTAATTCAATGCGAGATGAATAAATTAAGCCGTTAAATCGCGTAACAAATTTATTTAATACTTCTAGTAATTATAAACAACTTTCGAAATTGTTATTTAACAAGAAACACTAATTTCTCTATAATTAAAATACTTGAAAATAAACTACAAACTTCATTTCACTATCTACATTATTAGTAATGTTCCAGAAATTAGAATGTATCAATTTTAAACTGCTCGCTACATGGAATTACGTTCTAATTTGCAATAACCATTGTGAAACGACTGTCAGTAAACAGTTGTCTTCGAAATAGATCGAATATCGTACCCCTTCGCTCGTTAAATATTTCTATACCCCAAAACTTCCGGATATTCGAAAAACAAGTTACACTTCGTTAAAAACAACCCTCCACTTCTCTTACTCCTCCCACAAAATTTCACATATTTCATTTTTATTTCAGGGTTGCGACAACGTTCTGGTCCCACCGACACGCCGAGGAGTGGTGGTGAGTGTCCCAGCATTTACACATTTACCGATTACCTCGCCGACCGAAATCCTGTTAAAAATAGTCGCCCTTTTTTCCACCCCCATTACGAATTTTTCGAATCGCGCACGAAACAGCGACAAAAGGTATCGTGAGAAAAAAAAAAAAAAGTTACAATCCGCTGTGCAGTTTGCTCGCGTTTTAGAACACGCCAGTCGGAAGGCGAGGGGAAAAGGTGGACGAGAGAGGGAGGGGAGGGATGGAATAATTCGATTGGTCAGTAAACGAGTAATCAAAGTTGAATTCGAAACGGAAATTTGGGACGAAGCGTGCCTTTAAACGGATTCATAGCAGGCCCGGGGTAGAGAGCGAGCGAGGCGGCAGGCGGCGGCGGGTTTCAGCGTTAATTTTGTGAATAATATCCTTGGCCGTTCGCGCTCGTTCTGCGCCGCTCATTAGCGTAATTGACGTAAGCCTCTCGATTAACGAGGGCATTTTGTAGCTGCGCGAGACACGGAAAAATGAACGGACCGCCGATAAATTTCCCGTCCGGCGAATGGCAGTGAAATAAAGATGTTAAAGCGCGACTGTCAGCCGCATAAATCGTTGACTCGTTTCCCTCGGCCACCCTCGATACTCTTTTAACCATTGCACCAAGCCACCGCGATTTTCGTCGAATAACCAAATTTTCCGACCTTTCGACAATCTCGCTCCTCGTTCCACGGAAAAAAAAAAAAATAGAAACGTTTCGCGTTCTTCGAGTTTCCGCGGGGATCTCGCAGGACGAGAACGGTAAGAAGCTTTTTCGCAAGGAATTTTCACGTATCGTACGAAAGTATCCGGAACACGCGAATAAAACGAAGACAATTGATTTTTTCAGCCGCGAAAGCGATTCGATGCGTTTTTCACTGGAACGTGTGTACGCACGTCAAGCTTGAAAGCGGAAAAATTCCCTGGCTGGTGCACGTGTTGCGAACAGTTATATTCTTTTCGGGGCATTGTTACAGGGGAATATAGGTCGCGTGTATTTTTCGCTGGTAAACGCGTTACGCGAATTCGGGGGCTGTATCGTTGCATTCAACTGGAGGTGAAACGGTCAGAATTGGACTAGTTAAAGTTCTTCCTATATTTCTCTTTTCTCTCCACTGGAATTACCGAAGAATTTCCTTTTTTCTTTCGTCTCCCCTCTTTTCATCCGCGAAATTTCATTCGTTACGAGTAATCTGTGCAAGTTGTTAAAAAAAAGAAGAAGAAGAAGAAGACGAAGTACGGATAAAAAGGACCGATAACCATTTTGCTGTGGAAACCTCTTCAGTTTAATATGAAAGTTTCGAGAATACCAAATCGAACGTACCTTACTGAAGAACCAGAGAAAAAAAAAAAAATAGAACAGAAGAGAAAGGAAAAAAATAAAATGTTTTCCGGTCACGATTAAATCCAATCGACCAGCAGCTCGAACCTCCAGATGTTCCGATCCGTTTTTACTCCGGGCAAATTTTCGCCAGGAGAACGGATTAAGAAATAATGTATTCCGTTAGGAGCGGTTGCGGTAAAGTCTTTTGCCTCTGACCGTCCCGATACGCGGTGCTTTTCATCAAAAGCTTCGCCGCCGCTGTACCGCTCGGCACACTTTTGACTTCGTCGTGAAAGTTAAATTGCCTCGATCTCCGTGTCATCTGTGAATTTTTTACTTCCTCCTACCACCTAGAACACACAAACACACGCACAGACGCAGAGTGCGTGCAGGTGCGTGCATTCCGTTGGATTTCCTTTTATTTTTCGCGGCGTCTCTTTCCGACGATCGTTTCCAGTTTCCCCGTTCTAAAATCCAACGCGCGCTACTCGTTTGAACGAGATCACCCTAATTGAACATTCGGTGTCTTCGAGATAGGGGAGCCGGGTTTAGGGATGGCAGAAGGGAAAGGGAGGGTTAAACGAGCCGACAGAGGGTTGTTGGAAGAGGTTTAACGGGGGAAGACAGAACGAAAGTTCGATCGGGTCGGTCGTTGCGGGGGAAGCTTTAGCAGCGTCGATGAAAATCCACGGTCTGTGTACAGAGAACCGCATGTTCGGGGAAACTTTGTCCTGTGCAGGCATTTATCGTTTACGCGTCGCCTGATGATCGATATTCGATCGAAATCTATATATGCGCATGTATATATACATATACATATATAGATAGAAGTCTGACCTGGTTTCCAGCTGCTTTTTTCTGTTTACAGTCGATATAATCGTGGTCGCCACGCGGTGGTTTTCTCTGTATCGTCGCTATGAATGCGCCGGGACTGGGCTACGAAAAGTATTGGGGAAAAAGTAAAGTAGCGGTGGATCGGTGAAATAGGAGCAACACGGTCGATTGGGGAGATCGAACGAGGGGGGAAAAAACACCGGTGAATGGTGGAGAACTCGAAATTGGAACGATGGAAAATAGGGAGGTGTGTGAAATGTTTGTAGGTAAATATGCTGTATGAAAAACGCGCTTTTTTGCATGGGAAACCAGGTGAAACAAGGAATTACAAGTTTTTATCGGGACGTACGGTAGGATAGGGAGAAATCTTGGATTAACGTCGATCGATGAACATGTTACTCGCGTTTACATATATGTATGTACATTGTCACAGGCTGACCTAATTTACCTCGTCGAATTGAATTAACGAATGCTTTGTTAAAAAGTTGTAATAAAACCGGTACGATAAAGCGTCGATGAGAAGTCTTTGCAAACTAAATTGGAAAAATTGTTCATTCACCGATTGGAATTTTTGATTTTCCACATTTTCGCTTTATTTGATTTCTGAAAGTTTACTGCTGCCGATATTCTTGCATTTTTCATGTTACCTACTGAAATCGTACGATGATTTTATAAATTTCTATACTATTCTGAACGCAAAAATTTAACTTTAGCTGATTGAAATATCACTGCCACGAAAAATTGCAATTTCTCCTCAATTGTTCGTATCAAAACTGTTCCAAGATACGATCGTAATCGCTGCAAGGAAGCTCAGGTGTCAATTCCCTCGTTTGCAGCGCAATAATCCCAGATTCGAGTTCGAAACAGGTCCTCACAGTGCATCCTCGTATTAGCATCGGGGATTCCTACACACGAGGCGGTACCAAGCTAATCTGGACGCGACATTCAGCGGTAATAAAGCTTGAACGATGTTCGCAGAGCGCGCAGGAACGAAAGTTTAAATGATCTTTTCACACGTTCGAGCCGCGTGCTCCATTCCGTTCACTTTTTCATTACAGCGTCCTTCGTGTTTCATGTACGTACACACGTTACGCGAATTTCGCGGGGAGAGCACTGTTGAAAAGTGCTCGACAGCAAGGAGACAAAACGTAACACAGCGAATGGTAGTACGCGAGAGAAGAGGAAGAGAGAAAGGAAGACTGGGACGACGAGGTGGTTAACGTTTGAATTTGATGCTCGTATCTAATTCTGTTTAGCGGAGTGATCGAGATACGTGGCGCATCGTGCAGGAAAGTTTAAATTATCCTGTCCGCCGAGAGGAAGCATCCGCTCCTCGGGGGAAAGCGACTCGGATTGGTCGAGTCTGATTAGTTCGCTGGTCCCTCGCTCGTTTTATCCTCTCTTCCGCCGTCCTCCTTTCCACGGTTTGGTAACTACCGCGCGGCTATGGACCAGAAACGCCGGCTAAGGTGTTGCAATGGCCTTCTCTCTCTCTCTCTCTCTCTCTCTCTTCCCGTTCCGAACAGAGGTTAACCAGAAACTGGGAAAAGTAGACGGTCACCGTGGATCTATCTCGAATTCTCTTTCCAATATCTTTCCCTTCCTCCCGTCTCCCCGTTTTCGTCTCTCCCTCTCTCTTCTCCCGTTGACTTGGTTCTTCCTCGTTGATTCCCTTCAGAACATGGTACCTCCTAGCTGCACCGATCCTCTCTACCTTCTATCGTCTCGTTCTCGCGGGTTCCGTCTTTCCCTGCTATCGGTTGCTTGGCATCCTCTGTTTAATCAGACTTTCCTTGATGAACCGGTTGCACCGGTTCCAGGAGATCTGTATCAATTTTCGTAACGAGTCCCTTCCGGGCACAAGGAGACGCTTTATAGATATTTTCGGCGAATGGCCTGCGGGGACAGTGCGTTCGGTTTAATTAATTCGAAACGCGAGAAACCTTGTTCTACTTCGTGTACGTACTCCAAGTGGGGTAATAGCTCGGCTATTTTGTTTGTAATACCATTGGAAAGTGTGCTTGTATGTATTTGCGGTACACCGAGATGTGTGGAGTTAACGATGGATCAGTTTCACGAGAAACAGCTATGCGTCGATTTCACGATGTCTAATTTATTAACTATCAATTAAGTTTTCCTGGTGCACTCAGAGAAAGTTTTCGACGAAAGAACGTCTGTCAATCTTGTAGAATTTCCGCGAGAATAGAGGTCTAATTTTCAGAGCGATTTTACGATCGAAAATTCCAGGCAACGCGATAAATGAAAAAGAAGAAACACATCTAACAAAATGTTCGTAAGGCTAGATCGATTTGCAAAAAGCTCGATGAAAACGCGAACTTTTTTTCGCGACCTGACGATATTATTCGTCACTCGTTTTTCGAAGCTTCTCCGGTTCTCGATATTTATTTATAATGCAACGACGGAATGGGCGAGTCGTTGGTTCATCGCTGTGTACGTGTAGATGCACTCTCGGCACGGGAATTGGAGCAAAATTGCATTCGCATCAAAACGCATGCTATAAAATGTCCGATCGACTAGCGGGCCGGCACCTTTTAACGTCAGCTCGAAAAAGAGGCCACGGTGAAATCGAGGGAAAATAAACGAAACGGAACGAAACGGAATGAAAACGAATTTAACTATCCGCGGGGCTCTACTACCTTGCCAGTGAGGCCAATAGTCGTCAGGGAAGCCAGCTGGGACTCGTCTTTTTCTCGAATCCTTGCGGTAAAACGAGGGACAGAGATTAAAACTTCTGCTCCGTCTGTACACTCTTTTGCCGATACATATGTACCGTTAACGTTTTAATCTTCGGTTTTACCTCGTATCGAGTAAT